AAGTCCCCCCCTGGGGGGCCGGGCTGGGCGTGGCAGAGGGGGCCTCCCCTCTTCCCTCACCGCCACCCTGGCCTCTCCCCGCAGCGTACATTTGCTCCAACCAGATCATGGGCTGGGGCGAGAAAGCCATTGAAATCCGCTCGGTGGAGACGGGCCACCTGGACGGCGTCTTCATGCACAAACGGGCCCAGCGGCTCAAGTTCTTGTGTGAGCGCAACGACAAGGTGAGGGCCGGGACGAGAAGGTGGCCATGGGAGTGGGGAACTGCCTGGAGAGGGTGGAAGGCACCAGGGCACCCCCCCCTCCTTTGGGCCCCAGGATCAGCCCCCCCCCGCAGAAGACAGAGGAGGTCCAGGGACCACCGAGGGCGACTGGGTGAGTGAGAGCGATGAGGAGTCAGGACAAGAAGCCCAGAAAGGAGACCAAGAGGGGAAGGGGTTCCCAGGGCTGGAACTGGGTCCGGGGTGGGGGGCTGGGCTGCCTCCCCCACCTCACCCCACCCCACCCCAGCCCCCCTTGACCCTTCCTGGGCTGGACAGCGCCTTGCTCATCGCTCCGTGCCGGCCGTGGAGGCAAGGCATGGCCCCAAGGCCCCCGCCCACCACGACACCCTTTCTCCCTCCCCAGGTGTTCTTTGCCTCCGTGCGTTCAGGAGGCAGCAGTCAGGTCTACTTCATGACGTTGAACAGAAACTGCATCATGAACTGGTGAGAGGGGGCCTCCTCCGAGCCCCCCCCCGCTGACACATCCCAGGAAGAAGAACAGGAGCAGCCTCTGCGTGGGGGGGTGAGGGAGGGTTCCCTGCCTTGGGGAGGGCCGGGCAAGGGACAAGCCAGTGAAACCAGTCCCTTGGCAGTTCGCTCCCAGCCCCCGTCTCTCATCCTCCCCCCCCCCCGGCTGCTGTTTCTTGAGCGGGGGTGGGGGGATGGAAGTCTTCTGCTTCCTGTTTATGCTTTTGGCCCTGTTTCTTACAGGGAGACTTGGGGAGCTGCATGGGGGGGCGCTTTAGGCTAAAGGGGGGCACAGTCCAGGATGGGCTCTCCCCCTGTGGCCACCTCCAGAGTCCAGAACTGACATTCCCATGGCCTCCCGTCTGGGTGGGGCTGTCCTGCTGGAAGTGGGGGAGGAAGAACCCTACTGACGTGGCATCCCGACCCACCCACCCCCATTCCAAGGGGTTGCCCCATTTCAGAGGGGGCAGGAAGAGGAGGGTCACCCATGCCACATCATGTAAATAGGCAGAAGAGGGGGCCGGTCCCATTGCGTCTCCACCCCACCCCTGGATCAGAAGAGGAAGGGAGGAAGGATCCCCCCCCTCCCAGCAGTCAAGGTGGGGCATGGTGTTGCAGTGGCCCCGGGTGGCCCAGAAGGGGCGGTAGGAGGAGGATCTGCCTTCTGCATTGTGCCGGGGGGGGGGCTACAGAGCCCAATCCCCTTAGGGCACCCTTTGCAAGGTCCTTCCTCGCGGCAACCCCTGCCCTCGCACAGGCACACACACACCCGGCAGCGCCTGCTGGCGGTCACCCCTTGTGTGCCCTTGTGGCCGGGTGATCCCTGACCCCCAGCAGACAGTCCCCATGAATGGCTCAGCCCAGCCTTCCTCCTTACCCCCCCCCCCACGCACACACCCCTTGCCCCTATCAGTGTGACACATCTGGTGGCTACAAACAGGAGTGTCCCCCTCACACTTTTCCAGCGCCTCCCCTTCCTCCACCCCATGCCGCTTCCCTCAAACCATGGGACATACGTGGATGTATATCAGATTTCTCTCCCACCCACCCCCAAGGGGGGAGCTGTGTATATTTTGCTTTAATTATCATTCTTTTTGTAATGGCGTTTTAAGTAACTGACTAACGAAGCACTTTAATGGCCCAGCTCATCCCGGTGGTGGTGGGTTTGGGAGTGACCCAAGCTTAGCATTGTGTGTGTCCCCCCCCGCCTCCCCCCCCAACCTCCTGCTGGGGTTCTGCTTGGCTCAACAGGGCTGGGGGGCGGCAGGCCCTTGTTGGTGGGGTTGTATTGCGTGCCACCCAACGGTGTGGGGAAGACTTGCACTGTCATGCTGGGTGGAGGGGGGCAGTGGGACTGGGCTGGGGCCCATCCGGGGGCGACGCCACCCCCTCCCCCCCCGGGCGACTTGGTTTCTCGTGTATTTTTCGCTTGCATTTGTCCATAACCGTCTCCCCAGCGGAAGAAGACGGGAGCGGCCCCCCCTCCAGAAGTCAGCGGTGGCCTTGGCATCTCATCTGTTAATAAAAGAACCAAACTCTGTGACTTCTTTGCCTGGGACTGGTGTCTCCATGCACGAGGGGGGAGGCCATGCACCCCTCAGCAGTGCAGCCGGTGGGGGCCCCTGAAGGCTCCGGCTCCCCTCACTGACTTTGGGGGGGGGTCATTGCCCCAGGGGGAAGCCACTAGCGGGACGAATCCTAGAAAAGTGAAGTTGGAAGGGGGCTTTGCAAGACCATCCAGTCCAACCACCTGCTCGGTGCAGACGGCCAAGTCAAAGGATCTCTGCCTGGTGGTTGTCTTAAGTTTTCCTTGAAGGGATCCCGTGCTGGGGCCCTCGGCACCTTCCCTCGAGGTCACGGGTTCCCCTGTGGTCCTACTCCTCTCACAGTGAGGAAGTTTTTCCTGAGATTCCCCCGAATGGGAGAAGGGCCTCCTCCCTTTTGCAGGCCCCGCTGGGGTGTTCGGGGCTCTTGAGACGAGAGAGACTGCCCTCCTCCTGAGCCGCCACTGAGGCCCCCAGTCTTGTGGGGTGGCCCATCACCCCATCAGGCTGTGCCCTGGTTCTGCCAGCGAGGAGAGCCAAGGAAGCAAGGCTTGGAGGTGGGATGTTGCGGGGGGGGGCCTGAGAGAGGAGGGGGGACCCTTTGCACTGGCAGGCCCAGTGGTGGGTGCCTTCTGGCTGGAACTGTGGGCAAGCCCCCAGGCAGGGAGGGGGCTGCAGGAGGGGCTGCAGCTGAGAAGCAAGGAACTGAGAAGATGGGAGAGTGGGACGGACACACACACACACACACATATACAGTATATATATAGAAATAGATATCGATATAGATAGATATATATAGATATATGCGCTCTCTCTCGCTCTCTCGCTCTCTGCTACTGAGGGAAGGGCAAGGAGCTGTTCTGTCTTAGCGAGACGGGGGGGGGGTTAGAGAACCCAGTGTCCCACCTTCCAGATTGGCAACCCCTTGCATGTTTAAAGATCATTCGCTGCCACGCTCCCAAGCGTGAGTAAATTAATTGAAGCCTATGGCTAGAACCCCCAACACTGACTTTATACAGTATTATTAACCAAAGAGTGCAAATTCCCCCCCAAGGAGAACAGGCAGGTTTGTTTTTTTTCCGAACAAAGGTCGGCTGGTTTTATTGAACGGGACGGGTGTTTCCATGGCAATCAAAGGAGCAAAACCACACCAGAGACCGCCGGAGAGGTGTGTGGACTTTATCCGTTGTCGGCTGAAACCTCGGTCTTTCCAGCCGCCTGAGCTGGAGGTGGCGATTCCCAGCCGAAGAGATGGGAAGGAAGGGGAGACCGCGTCGCCCACCCGCACCCCTGCACGGAGGCAGAGCAAAGCTCCCCGGAGAAACGTCCTGGCTCCCCTGGTGACACGGGGGGGGGCATCCGACCAGCCGCGGCCCAGCAAAAAAGGGTCAGCTTCAGAGCACCGCAGCCCTGTGGGTTTTGGTCAGCTTAGGCAGGGCTGGTGGGGCACCGAAGGCGGCGGCCGCTCCCCCCACGCCGAGGCCTCCTGGGTTCCTTCCAGCTGGTCTCTTTTAAACAGAGCAAATATTGTTCTTTTTCTGTCCACGGATTTTAATCCTCGGCTTATCTCTCCCCGCCCCCCCCCCACTGTGCCAGCTGTATGCGTGGCGGCGGCGGCGGCATGCCCCTGGTTTGGGGCTGGCAGGGGGTGTGTGGAGAAGGCAGCAGAACACCCTGGAAGGCAGGAGGGGGTGATGCCCAGCATGGACGGACGGACGGACGGGGGGGGGGCGGAACTGTCCCTTTCCTTTCAAAGGGAACCGGGGGCCACGCCATGCCCTGCTTCGGGGTTCAGAGCCCAGGCGAGACCGGGTGAGCGTCTCTCGGGGGGGGCTGCCTCCTTCCTGGAAAAGGAGAGCCACCGGCACCCCAGCCCGTGCCCACCAGAAGGCGCCTCCCGGTGCCGCGTGCGCAGGGCAAGGCAAGGCCGTCTCTCGGTGCCCCCCCCCGCTGCCCTGGCTAAGGGGCGCCCCGTCCCCCGTCAAGCCCGGAACACGCTGGGAAGGGGGCAGCCTTGCTCCCTGCCTGACGCGAGTCGCTTTTCCCACGCGCTTCCGTGTTCGCAATATCTCCGCGCGCGCACACGCCCGCCCGCTTGCTTTCCAAGGCTTCTTTCCGGCTTCTCTCGTGCCCTGATGCCAGCCGTGCCCCCCCTGCCCCCCCCACATCTCAAGGAGTGAAGGGTCCC